GGACAGGCAAAAAAAGTTAGATATACTTAGCAAACCCAAACACCTGAATCACTAACACCTGGAACATCCTGTAAAACACACGCTTTCAGATTTCCAGACCATACCTCCCATTTATCCTTCCTTTTACCTTGTATGGCTTCCCTCATCTCTCTCAAACACGTTGAATGTCAAAAGGAGAGCCTCCACTTTGCAGTGAGTCTTGTATTACCACTTCTGGGTCTTCACGCCAGTCCTGGCTTCATGTCCCACACGGTGATGTGGGTTTGACCCCACTTGGGCATCAGGGCAGATGACTCCAGCAATAATGGATTCCAGCCTGCAGCAGGGGAAATTCTACCTCCTTCCTTCCTGCTTTTCCTCTGTCCTGCTGCACCCTCTCCAAAAACATGTTGAGTCAAGCAATGCAGAAGAACAAATGAGAACTTAAAATGAAAAAACATTTGATAATACTTCTTGTTTTCAGAATACCGTGTGTTGAAACACACATATATTCTGGAGTAGCTGAGCACACTGTTTGGCGCTATGTAGAAACATCCAGTGATGTGTCAGACACCTAACCGCCATGAACTGCTGCTTGCTACTGATGCCATGTGAGGAACATTCGGGGCTGGCGGCCAGTAGTCCGGGTTGCTTGCACGCCATTCAACTGAATTGTGCGCGGTAGCGTCAGAGGAGGGGCAGTACTTAAGTAATTGCATTCACAACCTGGAAGTCTACTTCCTAATTTAAAGCTTTACAGCCCTTCATTGATGAAGCATGTCTTTGTCTAGGGCTTCAGTTTCTCAAAAAAATCTCAGTATTTTTATTCATTCTTTTATTATGATTGTGTTACAGGAGCAGCACTAGAGAAAATAAGGACGACTGGCAGAAATGCGTGAACAAACCAGTAAACGCTTGTGCTGTTCCTCAAATGGCAATGGGAGGGAGGCACGAATGACACGTATACCTTTGTTTTTTTCTTCTGAAGACTTTTCCACATAAATTAGCATAAACTGCTGTAGATTTAACAGCTAGTGTGCTGGTAAGCCTCTTGATTTTAGCAAATAAAAAACATCACACTAATTTTATTTTATTTTTTCTTCCTCTTGCACCAA